CCGCCGCGCACCAGCTACCACCTGGCGGGCCTGCGGCCGCAGCAAAATGCCATTGCCCAGGTAGCGCCCTGGTGCGGCCTTCTGAGAGGCCGAGCAGATGAAGTGACGCCTCATCAAAAAAAGGAATCAGCTCATCTCGGTATTAAAGCAAACTCCTGTAGCATGGACTGCTGCGTGCAGAAACAGGACATCCAAGTTTTCCAAGGAAGAGAGCATTTAGACCAGTTTCAATACACGTGGAGAAGGCAGACGAGCCTTCAGGCACTCCAAGTCCTTTTTTTTTCCAAATCATACCAAGTTCTAATAACAACAATCTTGGCCTTTTCATCAGAGGAATGCACGGGAACTGTCCATATGTTAAAAATGCTTAATGTTATACTTAAAAAACAACAGTGACAAAAAGTGCGTGCAGCAATACTGTCTGCTCAGGTGCACGCTGCTCACAGTGCCGCTAGTAATGCTGAAGCTGGCCGACAGCTTCCCCAGATCCTTTTTTCCAACACACCTGCTCTTTATCCTGGAGGAAGAATTGGACTTGGCTAACTCAAGACTATTTTACTGTGTGCTGACAAAGTGCTGGAGCACACCTCTGGGAAAAGGAAGAGCTTTTTGGTAAGCAAACAGTAAATAGGCAGTGAACTGGCAATTCTTATAAACTGCACAGTCCTGAAAAGACTGTGTCTGTAAAGATTTTGCAACTTAAATGGGACCCGGTACACTACACAACTGAAACAGAGACAAAAGGAAAACAGACTCAGTTTTAAAAAGCAAAACAAACTGCACGCTTCAAATACGTTCCTCAGTACAAGACCCCTTGCCTGCACCTCTTCCTACAAAGACCATTCAGCGTTCGCTTAGCAAATCAGCCTGAAGCTCGGGGCACCCTCAGGGTCACCAGGAATGACAACACCCTCGGGCTCTGCAGACCCGCAACAAAAGCCTCCGAGCGGGATCACAGCAGTTCGGGGGAGATGTTCTGTTAGGCTGGCCCGTGGAGAGGTGTGCTGCCCCGTGTTTTGCCCCACCGCAGGCCACAGCTCTACAAAGCTCCTCCGCCCCGATCCCCTCTCCTCCCTCAGCCAAGGCCTCTCTCTGCTCAGCGCGCAGGAAGAGGATGCTCACGACCCAGGGTCACTGCACTGCCCACACTTGGCACGGGGAGGAAGGCCGAATCTCAGCAGCAGACAGTCTCTACCGCACAGACCAATATGTAACGTGGACGCCCCTTATGTTCACTAACAAAACAGGAACAATAACTATTCACTAATTATTCAGTTTTTAAATTTTAATTATTCATTACATTTAGTAATTACAACATACCCTTACTTCGCTATCTGCTTTTAGTAAGAGAACAATTAGAATGTGTTTCTACTTCTGTTGGAAAAAATGATGATTAATATATTTTAAAGGCCATCATGTCACAGTACGTGAGCTTTCAGCATACATAATTATTACGTTTGACATTAACGTCAAAAATAATTTTGAATGCTTTCCTAGTATTAAGTCTCAAAACTGAATTACTTGTCAGGCATCCCGTCCAATGCATGAAAGATCAAATCTAGGTCTGCCTTCTAGTCCTGTGCAATGCATCTGAACTGGAATGCCAGAGCAGAAATATCTTGGATACTTGAAAATGCTTGAATCCAGGTCCTCCCTTCACAGCCTGGGATCCTCTCCAGTCCAGAACTGTCAAGATGGGAAAATAATCTATTGAAGAACAGGTAGTGCATGCCTTCTGCTATTAATCTTGGCCTTAAGTTTTCTGCCACCCAAATTAGTTTTGAAACATTCAGGCCATTTAGGTCTGAAACTGAGCTTAAGGAAACAGCTGAAGTAGCTCAAGCCAGCAAATGCTGTTACACTTAACACGTTTCCTCACACCTCTCTGAGAGGGCACTTTGCTTTCGTTACCTGCAAGAGGCAAACTTGATTTCCCCACAGATTTGAACCTACAGAGAACGATACAAAAAGCTTTGATATAGAGACTTAGGCCTACAGCCAGTCTATTCTACAACATGCAACAGCGATGCAACAGGGCAAATGCTTTGCTAAGTGCAGATCTGCCACCTAGCAACCGCTTGGAAAGGCTTTCTTGAGGGGCCTGAGACCCACGCCGCAGACTGCGTGGAAGCAAGTTTTGCTGAGGGGTGCGGGGAGCTGGATGTGTGCTCTGCGCATCTGTGGCACAGACCGTTCCTGAACGAGTGATTCAAGCTTTGTTCTCAGGGTGGAAAAAACAGGCGGATTTAGAAAACCGCCCAAGTCGCTGTGGCGGACAGGAATAAGGAAGGTTCCTTTTAGTAAAAATATGCCCACCAAAAAGAAAAAAAGGTTGTTTCTATTTGTCAGATGCTTTATGTAGACATACTTTTTTCTGAACTGACAGAATGACAGCAAACAGAAAGACTGTCATTAGATTTGATGGCAAAATGTATTGCAAAAGCCTCCTAACTGATCCTCCCCCAAACACACGTAGGAGCATGAAATCAGGAGGATAACAAGCTAGACGTAACCTCACACAGGCTGTAATTTGGTTTGGTGCTTCAACACATGCCTAACTTTTAGGAGTGCACATTTTTCCAACTGAAGTCAGCAAAATCACTTGCTTATTTAAAGACAGGCACCTGCTTAAGCACTTGGCTAAACGATAAGTGAGAAAGACCAGAAAAAAATTTTGCTAGATTTTTAATTCTTCTTCTTTCCAGATTTCAAGAGTTCATATATCACCGAATCAGAAAAAAAACAGTAGATTAAAAATGCACTATTTTTTTTTTAAAAAACCAACCAAATATTGTTTATACTAAGCCTGTTCAGGCTTAGTGGAAGTAAATGGAAGTAAACAAGTAGAAAAAACATAGAAGAAAATATAAGGAACAGCCAACCACGTGTGTGCACACTTGGAAACCTTACATGAAGTAATTCTTCTACCAAGAAAATCCAGTTATTAAGAATAAAATGAAGCAAAGCACACTGAAATTAAAAATGACAAATATGTACTTCTCACAAATGAGGTAGACCTTCAAATTGCTGTACCAGCTTCAAATAACCAAAACTTGCACGGAAAAGCCACAGGCATAACATCAAATATTAGTTCAGGTGTCACTTAGGATTTCATAGCCTTATGCATTCATTAAAAAGAAGATTCACATGCAGGACTATTTCTAAAATTAACTCTAAACGTTCCACATGAAATTTCCAAGAAACTGGATAGATTTGCAGCATATTACTTAAATCATAAAACTTAATAATTAATAATCGAAGTAATCAGCTTTTACAGGGTTATTCTCTTACACATACTTATTAAATATGCTGCACTTAAAAGAATAATTTTTCTTTCTGAATGGTGGCCTCAGCATTCAATTTCACATGCTGTAAAAAAGAAGGAAGACTCTTGCAATAAAATTAAGGTTATAATAAAAGTAAAATCAACTACATAATTTAAGAGAAGAAGAAAATTGACACATAATACTTCAAAAACATCTCATACACATAATACTACAAAAACATCTCATACAACGTACAGTTTCACTATAAAATTGCAGAGGTACTTTTCTAAAAGTGAAAAAAAAAATGAAATGAACTAAATACCAGCATGGAGAGAGCTCCATTCTATAGGGCCCATTACAGAAAGAACACAGTTGCACGCCAACTTTTAAGAATTACAATTGAAACCCTATACAACTTGTGATGCAGAGTGAAGAAATCTGCTAGTAAAGCTTTCAGTCATGTCTTCACATCAACCAGGTTTACTCAGGTAATGGTTTTGAAAATTTACTAGTGAAAATTGTGAGTCAATTCACCATTTTCTAGCTAGTACAAAAGATCTGACAGCTAGTGTAATGAATTTGCACCAAAGCAGAATTCATTTATATACTTGTCTGTCTGTAAAACATGCCAATAACTCTCTCGATATCCCTTGTTTATCTTAACAAGTACCAGATACAAAAATTAGAAGACAGCTACATTCTTTTGCAATGGTTAATGTGGTTACTCCCTGAAAATCTAACAAGAAAAATTAGTAATTCTTCAGCTTTCCCCATCTTCAAATCAAGAGTATTCTTTTCTTAGTACTCCCACAAACACTAATTACTAGCTTCAGTGCAGTGGTAACTGAGTAAACTGTGATGGCCTATGTATGCAGAGATCAGATTAGAGAAACACAGAGTTTTTTTTCCTCCCAAGTACTAAAAATCTATTAGTATGCTTAAAGTTCAATATATATTCAAAACTTATATAATGCTTGTCCACTCCACAGAGTAAGCCTGGTGCTACCAAACCACTGTATCACTGTCTTCTGATTTAGTAACAAAGAATGCAATGTCAACCCTGAAGAATACTACAAAAGCTGAATTTCACAGTTGCAAGGACCTACGTTGACGATATAAGGGCCTCATGGCTAAGAACCTTACAAATTCCTCATTTTGACAATGTAACAATATAGCCTCAGAAGTCTGAAATATCCTGAAATAACTCTTTGAAAGAGTTTAGTGAGCACTGTGACAAGGGCAATAGGATTGTCTCATGTTAGCTGTAATGCTATCTGAGAACTGGTAAATAGAAGACTTGGACAGAAAAATCTAACAATTTACAGCCCTGGACAGAATTTTTCCAAACGAGACTTAACAATTTATGAGATTCTGCATAAGTATAATGCTATTATTCAGGTGCTGGAAGTATAACATGTTAAGGTCCTCTGGAGCTCTCTTGAGAGTGA